GTCATTCTACCTTGCCAAAGTCACTATAGGGAGAGACACTAAAGACTGCTGCTTACATTCTAAATAGAATACCAACAAAAGCAGCTGCCAAAACACCTTATAAACTTTGGACTGGGTGAAAGCCTAGTCTGAAACATTCTCATGTGTGGGGATGTCCAGCTGAGGCAAGGCCTTATATGCCAAATGAAAATAAATTGAACTCTCAAACAGTGAGCAACTTCTTTATTGGTTATTACGAAAGATCTAGGGGGTACAATTTTATGATTCCAAATTCAATTCAATTTTTGAGATGGGAACAACCACATTCTTTGATGATATTGAGTTTGAGGGGAAGAATAAGGTTAGAGACTTTGTTTTAGAGGAAGAATTGGTAACAATTCCAGAACCAATTCATACAATTGCTTTTGATCAAGCAAGTATGGAATCTCCACAAGACATTGTTGATTTTCCTCCTACTCAAGATGATTTAGTAATTCACGAAGAACAAAATCAAAATCCTCTAGAACAAGTTTTACAAGAACCAATACCTTTGCGAAGATCCATTAGAGAAAGGAGAAATGCTATTCCGAATGATTATATAGTCTTTCTCCAAGAACATGAGAAAAATAATGGTATGATGGAAGATAATCTAATCAACTTCCATCAAGCCATGCAGGATTCTGATTTGGGAAAATGGATTGAAGCAATGAAGGAGGAGTATAAGTACATGTAAGACAATAAAGTCTAGGAACTTGTCTCATTGCCAGAAGGTGTGAAACCCATTGGTTGCAAATGGATTTTTAAGACGAAGTAAGAGGTCTAACAGTAATGTGGAAAGGTATAAAGCTTATCTTATGGTTAAGGGTTATACTCAAAAGGAAGAGATTGACTTTAAAGATACTTTCTATTCGGTTTTATCGAAATACTCTTTTAGGACAATCATGGCTCTTGTTGCATATTATCATATGGAAATCCATCAAATGGATGTCAAGACGACATTCCTCAATGGATGTTAGGCAAATATTTGAGCAATCCAGGAATGGATCATTAGAAAGCAGCTAAAAAGGTTATGAGGTATTTAAAGAGAACAAAAAACTATATGCTTACATATAGGAGGCCATACCAGTTAGAGATCATTGGATACTCTGACTCAGATTTTGCTGGATGCCAAGATAGCAAAAGATCCACTGCATGCTATATATACATGTTGGCCGATGGTGAAGTTTCTTGGTGTAGTTTCAAGCAATCTCTTACGGCTTAATCCACCATGGAAGTAAAGTTTATAGCATGTTATGAGGCATCCAACCATGGGATTTGGCTGAGGAATCTTTTCATTGTGCTGCAAATTATGGAAAGAATTGAAAGACCACTTAAGTTATATTGTAATAATAAATCAGCCATCCTATACTCCAACATTAATAGGAGCTCGACCAAGTCAAAACATATTGGCATCAAGTTCCTAGTTGTTAAGGAAAGGGTACAAAGTGGGCATATTTCTATATAACACTTGAGGACAAACTTCATGATAGCATATCCTTTTACAAAAGGTATTCCACCCAAGGTCTTTAATGACCACACTGCTCGCATGGGTGTTTTACCGTTAGAGGGGTCTTTGGTTTAGTGGGAGTTAGTCAATTATGAATTTTATGTTCTATGTTTTGGTATTATGTATGCGTACTATGATTTTGGATATTTTCCAAATTAATAAGGTTTGATATTCAACAGTTTACATTTTGTTCAATAAAGTTATTGACTGATCTCACTAAAGTAAAGCAGGACCAGTTGAAAATCGACATATACAGACCAATTTTACGTGATTTTCATGCTACACATTTTATGATGGATCCATGTCATTTAGTTGTGTCTCTATCAGTGATCATTGACGGTTTTAGTTATGATTGATATAATGAAAATCACTTTGATTCTATATATAGGCATAACTAATGGACGAGATGCTTTAGATATGCTTAAAGAATATAATGGAAAGTTTTGAGCTCATAAAGTCTAACACATATGTGACCAGTGGGAGATTGTTAAAATTTTTAGGTCACAAATGTAATATTGCATGTGTTAGGGCCATTATTTAACTAGCCAAAACTGCAGTGGTCTAATTAATTTTAAGTGTGTGGCTAAAAGCATAAATATCATGAAATATAAGATTATTATGTAGATACCATGAATCAATATCTAATTTGTTGAGGGGTTAAATTAGAGTATTGAAAACTAAGAAATAACCCTAAGGTTATTTATAGGGGTTATGGTTCCTATTTATAGACAACGTGAAAATAGGTCATAAGGAGAAATTATCTCTTCATCCCCGTCAGAGGATATTCAAGGAGCCATAAGGAACTCTATAAATCGGAAGATCAAATAGATGCAAACCTTCAGTGATTCTCAATGGCAAATTCAGGTACACTTCTACTTTCATTTTCATAATTGTATTCGAGTATGGGTTTGAGAGACTTATTTAAGGTTCTGTTCTTAATTTCTAGATTATAAAAAATGTAAGGTTTATGAACAGATCTAACATAGTAGTATATTATTGAAATTCGTGTAATTGTATGAAATGAAAAAGCAAGAAAGAGACAGAGACATTGATATACAATTGATATATTATGTCAGATACAATGTCAAATATTGGATGTTGAAATAACACTCCTCTAGTAAGAAGGAGTAACATACATTATAATTTTTTTATGCCCAAATGTGAAAAATTTTAAAGGTAAAATGAGCTCTTTTAACATGGAGATAATTGATACAATATGCACAATTTTAGATTGTATGCAAGTAGAGAGAACTCCCAGAGATTTAGAAAGGAAGGTTTTGAGGGAAAATAGATTCTTCTTTATCATTTTTCATAACCACAAATGGTTCTTCTAAAGTACATCATATAAATCATATAAAATGCATGTCATAACAAAGTTGCATAAAAAGTGTAAATGGAATAAAATGAGAAAATAAATTCATTAATCATCTATTAATTCTTCTTAGGATTCCTTTTTGTTTCACACTCGTAGTCTTTCCTCTAAAGAGGCTTCTTGGACTATCTCTTCCCATGTATTGGGCCTTCTTCCTCTATTGGGCCTTCCCCAATCATAACATTTTCTTCAATTGACCCATCTTGCTCTATTGCTGGACTGTTATCAATTTGTGCCATATCACTCCTTACCCCTTCAGAAATCACCTTGTCTTCAAGGTGAAAAGTTGAAAAATTATTTTGGAATGCATCAAGGTCTTCCCATGAAGCTTCATAAACAGAGATACCAATCCATTGAATCGAAACTTGGTGACAAAGGTTACCGTTAACCAAAAGCGCATGCTAATCCAACATTGCAACAAGTAGTTCCATGAGTTGATTGTTAAAACTTTCAGTAGGTAAGTCATAAGGAGGTGTTGCACCCCAAAATTTTCCCTCCTAATTGCATTTTTATGCTGGCTTGGACTTTGCATCCATCTGCATCATTCCAACGGGTCATGTGCATAGCACACATTTTTTCATAAAGTAGATCGTCTGAGGTTCAAAAGACCAGCAGTTAGGGAGCTAGGGTTTACAACTGATTTGAGGTGTATGTCTTGAATAAGTTTGATTATCCAGGGTCTTCCTGGTGTATAAGACTGTGGAACTAGGGTTTTTAAGCATGTTGATTTTTGGACTTCTTCTCCATCAAGCTACAAGTCTATTATCTTCTGCTAAACAAAAGGTTGCAGGGTATCCCTGTCAATAACTTAAGGTTGTGATCTCGCGTACATGATCTTTGATTCAAAACACCTCACTCTATCATTGTGCTTATCATTTGGTCAAGGTTTTGTCAATACTTGGGGTGTATTAATATTTCTCTAAAGGATCAAGATCTGTTATCAATCCAGGATGCATATGATGCTTGCATTACAGTTTGTTGACTATGTCATTGTTGCATTGAGTTCATCTATCCATAAGTTAATCAATTAGGATTGGATACGTCATGATTCAAGATATTTTGTATGGTAAGTTTGGTTGCTTGACGGTCAAGGCATTACGAATAATTGATACAAGCTATTATTCAGATATTTGTGCCAGAACTTTGGTTTCAAACATGGATTAAGGTTCAACTTGATAAAAAAGAAATAGCGTGCCCGAAGGTTTATTTCATAAATTCTTGCGGAGGAAGATGGCACATGAATATAAGTTGAGATTAAAGTACATGGTATCAAGTAAATCTCTTCATGATTCAAGTTGTTATTTTCAAGATTATCCCACATCATTGTTCATCCCAAGGTAAAAGATAAAAAGATTCATTTAAATAACATTCGAGTGTTTATCATGTTTGTCTCAAGTTTATTCAAGTATTCATTCAAGCTCAAACTGAATGAGAGAAATGTTTTGAATAATTGTCATGCAAAAGTTATAAAGTTTTGTTCATTACAAATTCAAGTCATTACACCGAAGTTACAAAAGACATCTCAATCATCAAAGTTTCAAATTCCAAGTACAAATCGTCATCTTTTTTTACAAATATCCGTCATCATTCAAGGTTAAAATTCAAGCGTCTCCATTCATGCGGGTTTGAGGTGCAAGGTGTTTAGAATTGGAAGTTCAAACATCGAATTTTGAGTTTTAAGATCCAAAGCATGGTGTGCAAGTTCGTTTGAACCCAGGTTCTTATAGAAACATGGCATACAAGGGAAATTTTGGTTCAAGTTCTTGTAAGACATATAAGACACACATCATGGAGTATCATGGATTAAATTTGAGATCGAATGGGTAAAAAATTCCTTAATTTGACTAAAGTGTGATCAAGGCCGCCATTTACCAAAAGCTAAGAAGCTTAAAGAATGTTTGGAAATGGCATAATTCAAGAAGATTCATCTTGCGAGAGCTCATAAATAATAGACATGGAATTTTGAATTGTAGCAAGTTTTAGTGTATTCAAGTTCTACCTGTTACATCTCATTTAAGCTTCTTCTTTGACTACATAAATCTCAAAAGACACAAAAGGCTTAAATTTTCTACAAACTACAAGAAGGCGCGATATAAGTTCTCAAGACATAAGTCACACAATTATTACCGGCTACAAGGAAGAAAGGCTACAAATTTACAAAAGAAATCAAAATTCTATTACAAGTCAGAACTATTCCCATCCATGGTCATTCAGATTATTCAAATCACTCAAGTTCAATCATTCAAGCGTCTACACGCCATTTCAAGATTACAAAAAGTTACAAAGGTCCAAAGAAACTTTTACAAAAAAAAGCATTTAATCAGTTACAAGAAAATGCATCCTAAGCTTAATCTTCCGTCTTCATCTTTTACCATGGGCTCCATGACATGTTTGAACCATGCCTAAATTCTTCACACCACATCCATACCTTTCATGCTATCTCTCCCTCTCTTAACTTGATACAAACTATGCTTCAAGTGCATTATGCCTTAATGTTAACTAGTATGCATGTACCAAAACAGTTGCCGTGATAAATCCTAAACGTTTAGAATTTAGCAGTTCATGACCATTCAAAACCAGGCTATATACCAGAATTTCCACCCAACCAAACCTTATACTACCATAACAGCCCTGCACATAAAAAAGGTTTATAACAGAACTTCTAACAATCCATTGCATCCTTAACCAAATTCCAACACATAGAACTTCAACAGAATTTAACAAAACTGTCATAACAGCTAACAGACCCCAACCATTTCTAACTACAAACTAATCCTAACTGTCAAAACATGATTTTATAACTAAAACTATTAACTGTCCATAACTGAGTTAAAAGGTAGGTAGCTAACCTTTATCAAATCCATCTCGCCATTCCTTTTATAACAAATCTGCTGCGACAACATGCTTCGGTCGGAATAAAAGCTGCAATCAAGACAATCTGCATGACCTGTAGTAACACAAAGAACAGGTGTAATTAGCCTTTAACCAAAACTATTTCAACACCAAAACAACCCTTCATCTAACTATGACCCAAACCATTCAAGCTACTGATCGACCCTGCGCATGAAAACCTGAAATCAATTAAGCAAGTTAATGGTTACAGTCCAGCATTCGACAGAAAAATAAGAAGTCAAGTCTTAACTGAATTTGGTTTCAGCATAACAAAAAATCAGCAACTTCTAATAGAAGTCATAAAAACTCGACTTTCATTCAAATCTCAATCATTCATTTTTCCTAACTAATTTTCAGATTAACCATTCAAATCAAAATAGATCCCTGATTAATTTTTTTTAACCAACTAACAAAATTTCCAAACAGAATTCTAACTACTTCTAAATCCCTAACTGTTTTTCTAATAAGCAACTAACAAAATACTAACTCCTCCCTAACTAACTTTCAATTTCCTGATTAACATCACCCAAAGCTAACTATTAAAAAAAAAAAGATCATAACAACTTAACAGTAGCCTAACAAAATTACTAACTGACTTATAGTTTAACAAACTTAGTTCCAGCTTATGTCCTAACAATTTTATAACTCCCTAATTAATTCTATAACTAACTCTAACAGTGATAACAGAAACTGCTAACAAACTTCAACAGAGTTTTCTAACTGTTTCTAACAAACTTCAACAGAAAATCCCAACTGTTTTAACAATCCATAACAGAAATCTCAAAAAAAATTTCCAATTCCCAACTACCTAACCAACTCCCATCTTCTAACCAATTCTCAACAATCTATATAACAGGATCCAGTTTCAGATTTACAGGATTCAGATTCCTTTTTTTTAACTCTACAAAATAGATAAAAATATAAAAAAATTTACCAATTCAGATTGATTCGGGAATTCTGCAGAAGAATCTCCATAAACCTCTTCTTTCTTCCCTCCCCTTCATCTTCATCTTCTCTCTTCACTCTTCATTTCTCAGAATTATTACAATCTTCGACAAACTCTCTCTTATCCTCTCATCTTCATCATTATTCAATCTTTGAAAAACCCCACCAGAAATTTCACTTCCCCTGCCATATTCTTGACGACACCACGATCGTCATCAATCTTTAACAATAATTCATCAATCTTGGAGAATCATACAGAAAAACTCAAAACACGATCTCATTGACTCTCTCTCTCTCTCTCTCTCTCTCTCTCTCTCTCTCTCTCTCTCTCTCTCTCTCTCTCTCTCTCTCTCTCTCTCTCTCTCTCTCTCTCTCTCTCTCTCTCTCTCTCTCTCTCTCTCTCTCTCTCTCTCTCTCTTCATTTCTATCTCTGTGGGCGCCAATGGCGGATCCAATCTCCAAATCTCTGACTGCTTCTATGCTCATAGCTTCTCTCTTGCTATCCTCACACGCTTCCTCCGGCGTTCCCTTCATCGTCTCTCAGATGAGAGTTGGCCAACAGACCTTTTCAGTATAATCAGCAGTACCACTTCAAAGACATGGGAAAAGCTTGATGCTAGTGGTGTCCTATCTCACACATTTGAGTTGGAGGCAAAATCAAAGGGAGTATTTTCTGGTGAACCAGCTGTCATCAAGTTCCGTGTCCCCACAAACGCTGTTTTACAGGTGGCACTTTTAACTCCCATATTGCCGTTAGACATTCTTGCTGACAGGCCTCCGGAGAAGAAGTTTGAATGGGCTAAGAGGTTGCTGGCTAAGTATGGATCTTTAATCTCGGTGATCAGCATAATTGTTATGTTTGTGTACCTGGTAGCTACCCCATCAAAATACGGCAAAGATCGCCGGAAGAGAAGAAGAATCGCGGCGAGTTTGACGGAAGAGATGACGAAAGCGAGGCACGAAGAGAAATGAGATAGATGAAAGGCGACCAATGAGAAGGTGATGCCATAGTCGCGAGAGGTTTGAATTCGTGAGTAGAAGAGGTGAACGGCGCCGCGGTTGAGAGAAAAAGGAAGAAGAATTTCTGAGCATGGAATGGGAAACGTCATACGCTGAACCCTAATCCCTCTTTTCAATTTTCAGTTTCAATTTTTTTATTTTTTTATTTTTAACTATTATTTTTTTTTAATAAGTTGAACAAAGGCTAGTGGACTGGATCCGTTGGGCTTGCTACCAGCACCCTCTCATAAGCCCAAAGACTCGTTTTTGTAACAGGAAGATGGCTTTGCAAAAAAAAAGAGAGCTTCATGGATTGGGCCTAGCACCAAAGCCCTGAACTACTGAGCTTACCACCCGAATTCCAGCATACACCCCCATATGTTTAATTTTAATTCTTTTTCTATTTTCCTTTAATTTGTTTTGGCTAATTTTCTCATTATTAATTTTCTCTTTTTACATGATAAAATGATAAATAAAAAATTATTATTAGAATATTTTACGATTTCTCTTCATGATTTCAATTAGAGTTTTCTATTATTTTGTGTTTAATAATCATTTTCATTGTCATTTTTTTAGCCAAGATTCTACGATAGAATATTAATGTAATTTTTGCAATATGGAAGGCCAGGAGATTAATTCTTTGATCACTCGCGCAGAGCAGCTTTTGGTAGAGTTTCCATATCGCTTGCACGGTTTCAAAGAGGCAACGAACCTTCTCCGTTCAGTATCATCGCGACCTTAATTTACCCCTCATTTCCGCACTTTATCACGTTTCTTTACCGCTTTTCTAGAAATCATGAGAAGTAGGGGCTTTACCGCAAACCATATGCATGCTAACATTAGGTAGACGTTTCCCTTTCATCCATCCTTGACTTAGGTCTAACAACACATGATAAAATTAGGTTTAGAAATAGGTTAGTCTTCCTGTGACTTTCTTTCCCCTTTTGCATATACATTAAAACAAAAACTTCCTTTTTTACAAATACTAAAAATTTACTGACGAGAATCATATCTTCGTTAAGTATGTGAGACAATAAGCGAGTCTCTTCTCGAACTTATTGTTCTCTTATTCTAAGCTTTGGTGTGGTTCAAGTCTCAAAGACTCATTTCATGAATAAGTAGAGAAATGGCTAAAACCTCCCTCTTGAGATTAACTAGCTATTATCTACAAGCAAAAACACCGACAAATACAAACTCTTTTTGCCTTCGGGCCTTTCCTTTCAAACTTTTTTCAAAAGAGCATATTAATTCACTTCTGTGCTGACGCGTAAGTCTCCAAAAGTCGAGTTGCGGTAGAAGGCGAAATTAATGTTGTTCGTCAAAAACACAATCAAATTCAAACCTTTTTGTGCGCCCAGACACATTTCCTTTTAAAACCTTTTCAAAAGAGCATGTTAATTCACTTCTGTGCTGACGCGTAAGTCTCCAAAAGTCGAGGTGCAGCAGAAGGCGAAATTAATGTTGTTCATTAAAAAATACAAACAAACAAAAACATGTGAGCCGAACTACGACTGCTATGATTCCTTAAAAGGGATACGTAGGCATCAGGGTAGGGCCCGAGCGAGCATAATTTTATTTTCCCTACATTCTTTTCTCCTTTCTTTTGCATGCATTCTCCCTTTAGCAGCATAGTAAATAATAATCATAGATTAAACGCACCCATAAGATAGACAACAAGAGTGGATACCGTAGAGTACTACGGGTGTGTGGGGTGCTAATACCTTCCCCTCGCGTAACGGACTCCCTTACCCTTATCTCTTGGTCGTTCGACCTTGATTTCATCTTTCTCAGGTTTTCTCGATGTTTACCTTTCCCTACATGTGGGATAAAAGACGTTCGATGACGACTTCATTGTTTTGATGATTTTCAGCCGGTTGTTTTAGGAGGAGGTGCTTCAGTACCACATAAAGGTTTAAGGGTAGAAATGTGAAATATCAAATGTATGTGGCTGTGTGAAAAGAGCTTCCACTTGTAAGCAATCTATCCTATGCGCTAGACAATGGGATATGGACCATAATACTGTTTAGACAGCTTGTGGTGACGCTGCTAGCGCACCATTGTCTGGAGGTAAGGTCAGAGGCAAACCAAAATTAAGTCACCAATAATAAAAGTGAGATCACAACGATGTGTATCCACCTTTTGAGTCATGTGATTCTGAGCAACAAGTAAGTTTTTCTTCAATTTATGAAGAAATTCATCCCTATTAATGAGTGCTTTGTCCAATGTCGAAATAGAAGTTGAACCTCTAGTATACCCTGGCATGCAAGATAGTTTCAAGCCGTACAAATGTAGAAACTTGTATTATAATGAAATTTAGACCATGGTAGATAACTCGCCCATGCATAAGGTTTATGTTGAGTGAAGGCTCAAAGGTATTATTCAAGACAGTGATTCGTAACCTCGGATTGATCATACATTTACGGGCGGTAAGCACTACTCATTGCTAACTTTGTGCCACTGAGTTCAAAGATTTTATGCCAAAAATTGCACACAAATATCAGATCACGATCAGAGGCACGACGCAACAAGGGGAACCATGATGCTTAACCACCATAGAGACAAATAATTATGCAACTTTGGAGGCAGTAAATATGGTAGGAAGTTCACCAACATGTGCAAATTTGGATAAACAATCCACCACAATATAAATAATTGTTGAACCATGGGACGATGGTAAACCCGTAATGAAATCCATCATAGCATTCCCTCACACCTCCTCAGGAATGGAAAGAGGTTGTAATAAATTGGCTAGAACCTGAGTGGAATATTTTATTTGTAGATAGATGAGGAAAAAAGCTAAAAAATATTTGACAAATTTTCTCATACCTTGCCAAAAAAATTAATAGCAACACGACTAAGAGTACGTTTAATATCGGCATGGTCCCAACAAGGTGTATCATGAAAATCACTAACAATAATGAAACATAAGGGGACACTACATTAAGTACATAACGTCCTTTATGGACAACCAAAGCATTCATGATAGAGTAAGGGGAGACAAGAGTTCCTTGATCATGTTATTGGTAAATTGCCAAAAGGAACAAGTCAGAGGCATTTTCTCTTTGACGTTTTTGAATAACACCGAATGTAGGAGTTATCACCAAGGCTAGTTGTTAGTTCCATGGTTTTAGGATTGACATAATTTTTATAAAACATAGTTCTATTGGTGTTGATTAAGATGTTACAACATTCTTATCAAATGTCATAATAATTTTACTATTATGAGTTTTTTCAGCCAGATGTCCTGACATCTTGGTCTGGTACAACAGGCGCTGCTGTGTTTTAAATCTTGATTGATTTTATTTGATTATGTGATATTTATTTTGGAAATATCTCAGTATATTTTACAGGTCAAGAAGATTTAATCTAGAGCAAGTTTTATATCTCCAATTGTGCATTGGCTTTTAAATTGGGCCTTAAGACAATTTAGGAAACTTTGTATTGTTTATTCCAAGACTTAAGGAAATTTTGCTGCACAATTGGTCCATCACTCAGCTTATGGATCAAGAAATATCTAAAGGAAGATTTTGAAGCCCTTGGACTGCAGAGGTGTATTTAAAGAGAATGTGTAACCAAATGTATTTAGTTCTTTCAACAATTATAAAATTAGGGGAAGAAAAAATAGTCTTAGGTTTTGAGAGTCTCTTCTGTATTGTATGGTGTAAGTCACCCTTGTATCTTTTGATACTGGTGGTTGACATTATGCTCTCACTCATAAGCCTTTGGAAAATGAGTTGAGTATTGTTATTGGATGAAGCTTTTAAGCAAATCCAAGTATTATTCTCAGTCAAGAGTCTTGGCTAAGTATTATAATGGAAGTATGTGTCGTAACCAACAAAGAATACAAGAGTCGCCACCATTAATTTTAATCCTAATGACGAGAAAATAATGGGCAACCCTAATTGTTAGAGATTCTAAATTTATGAGTTGATTAGACGAAGGGATGGTATTAGGCACCCTTCATCTTCCTTGTTTTCAAGGGGCTCCACTTCTAGGTATAAAGGTAAATCAGGAATTTTCTATTTAACTGCATTGTTTCCATTTTTTTGAGAAAATGTTTAGTTTTTTAGTTGAGGGAATCACCTCGGTTTTAACTGCATGCCTACGTATGTCCTTGCGAAGAATAAGAGTCCAATTTCGTAGTTTGTATGTGTTTGGTTAATTTTTTTTCTATAAGATTACTTTCGAATTATCCTTGAACCTTGTTTGGGTTTGAAAAATGAGTGATCGTAGATGTAGATCACAATTTTGATTTGAAAGTAATCCACCAATCCTTTTTTTTAAAATTATCTTCAGTTTTCATTAAGTTAGTAAGCCAAAATAGTTTGATGGGTTATATATTTTGATGTTTAATTTGAATTTCGAATTTAGAGGAGTTGATTTTCATTAGAATTAAATCACGTTGAGCGAAGCAATTGATTTTAGTCGATAAGGAGTTGATCCTTATTGGAATTTGATCGCGCTAGGCAAATAAATTGATTTGTTTTGTTTATCGCGTCGAGCGAGTAAATATTTATAATTCCGTTAAGCAAAACCAAGGTTCGATGAATTTTATTGTTTTAATTTGAATAATTAATTGGTAAGATATTAAGCCAACCTACTAATTACTCGAGGATGTGGAATCCTTTTATTTAAAAAAATGCTAAATTTAATTTAACTTGAGAAGTTTAGAATTAGGTACAAAGTTAGTGATTATCAATCTAATTAAAATAATTACATAACTAGATTATTTACAAATAAAATTAAATCTAATAATAAGAGTACTTTTTGTATTTTTTTTATAATTTTTGATAATATTCACGAATAATCAATTCATCATAATGCAAATAAATCAATTCATACATTTATTTAAAATAATAATAATAAATAAATAAATAAATAAATAAACCAACCAATGAACTCAAAATTCAATTAAATATTGTCATTATTATATATAAAAAAAGAAGAGAAAAATCTAACCTCAAATGTCTTTA